TGAAATGACAGGCATGAGGTGCGAGCCGACCCTCAGTAATCGTTAAATAAAAATACAGCGTCTCCTGGATGCCATGCATGAACACAGAGACGATTTGGAGAGTATTGGAGAATTTAGCAGCTGAACCTGCAGCTCTAACTGTGTCATGTGACTCGCGATCATGTGATCATGACCACTCACACACGCACACTCACACGCACACACACTCACTCACTCACTCACTCACTCACACACACTCTCACTCGCAATCACACGCACACTCACTCACTCACTCACACACACCCTCACACTCACACTCACACACACTCTCTCACACACACTCACACACACTCTCTCACACACACTCACACACACACTACAGTAATGATACGGTCTGTTTCAGGGCTTTTGTGTCTCTGTCTGTGGTTTGTTGTAAATGTACACAGCTGTACAGCGGTAGTTTCTTTAGACAAAAGCTCAGTTTCTCTGGGTTCAGTGTGAAGGGATCTGTCAGTAACAGACTAATAATGAGTCTTCATCTGCCCTTCATTCAGACAGCAGAATCTCTCAGGCGTCCCGGGCCATCAGGCCATTTCTGTAGAGCAAACATTTGCGTCACATGAACATTGTCTTGAATCTGCTGTTGCACCACTGAACACTGTTATTTGTGGGTGACGTCCACACAAACAGAGCCATTTGACGATCCCTTCTGACTGCTCTGTGTGTGTGTGTGTGTGTGTGTGTGTGTGTGTGTTTGCAGAACACTCAGACAGAAACAAACCCGATCAGCGCCACTCCAGGTAAGTGCAAAAGTTTTGTTTTTGATCAGTATAATGAGTGGATCAAGAAATTATTATTTTTTACATATATAAAAGTAATTTTTAGAAGCTTTTAGATTTTTTAAAACTATTTGGCACATGTCCACACACTTAACTCCTTATTACAGCGCTGAAAAATAAGCAGAAATAGATCATACATTTAAAAGCATTTATGCCTATTTTTTAAAAGTTTAAAAATATATATTTTTTGACAATTCATCACATTTCCATCCTCTTAATTTCTCATTACAGCGTTTATGCCTATTTTTGGCAGTGTTTATTTATTTAGAAAACTTAGAACATTTCCACCCACTTCACATTACAGCACTGAAAAATAAACAGAAATAAATCCTAAAAAAAATATAAAGCCTATTTTTTAGAGTTTGGAATTCTGTAGAATTTTTAGAAAGTTTTTTGATTATTTTTTTTTGCAATTTAGCGCATTTCCACCTTAACTTCTAGTTACAGCACTGAAAAATAAACAGAAATGTTATAATTTTTTTATTATTTTGAATTTTATTTTATTTTTATATTTTCTGATTGCAAGTTAATTTTAGTTTTAGTATTTTTGTTGAGTGTTTTTGGGATTTTTATAGTTTTATTTAGTTTTGGTTATTTTAGTACATCAAGTTAAACTTAATAAATATGTGAAATGCTGCCTTCTTGTAAGCTAGCTGAAATAAAATAAGTTAAAGTTTTTTTATATTTAATTTTACTTCAGTTTAATTTTATTCTCTAGACTATAAGAACAAGTCAAAAACCTGTTTATCTGTGTTCAGAGCTTCATCTGCTGGTGGCGAAGCTTTCGATTCATGCGATAAGAAGAGTGAATGCAGCACTAATGCAGTAGTTCCTCCAGCTCAGTACTAGAAATACCTGTTACACTACAGCAGGAAAAAATGATTAACGCTTTTCCTCCTGAGCGTAATATAAATGTCACGTCAAACTGAGCTCATGCGCGTTATGTATGAGTGTGTATGTATGAGTGTGTATGTATGAGTGTGTGTGTGTGTGTGTTAGTGAGTGAGTCAGTGTGTGTGTGTTTGATGAAAGTCCGTGTCTGTGGGGGTTTGGGTGTGGTGTGTGTGTTGTGTAACTGTGAAATGTATTTCCAGTCGTGTCACTGGAAAACAGTCGGGAAAACTGGCCTTGAGTCATTGAATCAATGGAAAAAGACATTGAGTCCTTGTGTTTCTCTCGCTTTTCCAGCCAAGGGCCGCTTTCCTCCATCAGAGCTGTCATCAAACGCAGTGAGTTTGCCTGCTGTAGCATGTTTTTGGTGATTTGGTGTGTTTTGTGTGTTCTGTCAGATGTTTGCATGTGAGTTTGTGTTTTTTTTGTCGGAAATTGCGCAGCATCAGCGAGAACGAGCTCTCAGAGTGACCATCAGCGAGACCGCAGGTCAGTTCATGCCTGTTTACTTGGTGTTTTCTTTCTCTCTGTGTTCAAATCAAGTGATATTTTGCTTGATTTTGACTTTTTCTTTCAAAATCACATCTTGTATCTGATCTCAAGCTCTTCGCTGATACTGTCATACAATATTGACATTGAGCTGATCTATTTTAATTTTGTTCATTTAAAACTCTGTAAAAAATATATATATTAAAAAAAAATATATATATATATATACAGTGTATATATATATATATA